AATAGCAAAATACCTCAAGGCAAGAGTTGAGGTTAGGGTCCTTTGTACCAAAGAACTCTAGAGAAGATACAATTCTCTAAAACTGGGAAAAAATCAGGGCAGAATAGGAAAATATTGTTCACAGGCACCAAGATTGTACTGGGCACCAAATGAAACTACCAGACACCAGACTTAACATAAATAAAAGCTGATACTTCTTCAGATGTGTCATGTGCCACAAGTCACTGGAAGCCGGAGGACCACTATTAAGAAGCGCCACCATACAGTTGCCCTGTTGTGCTCCATTACTGCACAGCTGCTACTCCCTGCTGCTGGAGACACAGTACTGTGCTGGATGGAGCTTCAGCCTGGCCACGTGCAGCTGCTGTTATGCTTTCAGTACAAACTAACACACAGTTATTACCTCAGAGTGCTTATACTCGCAGTATGTGAGACAGACAAAATGGGAGAGGCATAAAAAGTTATTGTTATCCCCATTTTTATTAAGGGAGAATCAAGCAAGAGGCTTTTATGTGACCTGTCCAATGTCACCCAAGAAATCACTATCTGAGCTAGGAGCTGAGATGAGATCTGAAGTCCCTTCAATGCCTGAATCAGAGGATCATGCTTTCCCCTCCGTTAGCCACCAGAAATCTATGAAGTGAAAACAGAATCGAAGGCATTGAGTTGTCAGGCTCAGAAGTATCTGTTTTTCCATGGAAACCTCTTCCCAGCGACAGCTAAGTTTTTGCAAGGAGAGAAGCACTTCTCATCATGCGAGAGCTGTCAGGGAGCTGTACTATGCAAAACGCTGTAGCTGTGCAGTTGCCTCCTGGAGAAGTCTTGCCCCGCAGCCAGGCAGCATACAGCCCTGTTCCCGACAATCCAGCTGTAATTCTGCCTGCTCGATAATTTTTCACCGTGGTCATGCCAGACGCATAGCCTTGTTTTCTGTTGTTTGGCTGTTAGTGGTGATGTATCAATAAGTAAGAAAAACAGCTTCATTTTCATAAGCTAACTTGTGCCTGGAGTAACGGAGTGAGAGGAGTGCACTGAATCATAACTGCAGGGCCAGACCAGAAAACAATGACAGAGCTTTTGCTGCTAGTGATAGTATTTTATTATAATAACTCTTAGGAAGAAGAAACAGGCAGCTCAGAATGCTGAACAATTCAAATTCATTATGGTAGCCACTGTGTTCTCATCTGCTGGAAGAATAACTCACATAACTCTCTTTTATGCTTGCCTTTTACAAAAGGCCATGGTGGCAAGGAACTCTAGTCTTTCACCTCAGAAAATCTGAATTCAGATTCCAGTGTGATCAGAGGTGAAATGAAGCTGGTGAAAGTTTCCACAGAACTGCATGCACCTTGCGGGGAAGGCATGAAGAGTGGCAAAGGGACAGGTCGGGGCTGATGGATGGTCAGAGAACTGTGGGCAAGGAGAGCGTTCATTGTGCCTGCTCGACACCATGCATTGCTTTGGCCAGTGCTTCATTTCTGTAACTTCATAATGCATTTGAAAAAGTAAATACCTAAATTAAATAATTGGTAATGCTCAGATACACTGGACAGATGTTCTCACAATGATTCATTAATATAACAAAATTTTAGTGAAAGATTTCAATGAAACATTTTTAGTTGTTCAAAATTGGAAGGGCAAAACTTAAGATTTTATGTTGTTTGAACTTTTAGATACATAGAATAATACGGTATATATTATGCATCTGTATTATGTGTCCCATTGTTTGATAATATTGAAAATGAGGAGGGTTGTACATTTAGATGTGGTTATTTTGCTGTCTTCAGATCAAAGTATTTGGGGATTTTTTTCCAGAGAATATTTCTGAATTTCTTTTTTTAATACTGATCCAGAATGAAAACATTTTTTGGAACCATCAATATTTGCTATGCAGCTGAAGTTCTGTTTTCCTGATCACTTCTGCCCTGAGTCAAGATCATAGAGACAATATAAAGGGAAATAAAAATATATTCTTCTTTGGCAGAGACAGCAACACTATTGCAGGCTAGAGAAAACAGAAATATAACTAGAGAAGATACAAAACATCTTCATAACTTTCTCCAAGGTGGCTTGGGAGACAAGCCATCACATCTGCCTAATAGATTTTTAGACACCAGCAAGAGTTACAACAGCCTGACAAGTTGCATGCACTACTCTAGGACAGTAGGTGAACATGTATGCATTCCCAGGCCATTGCAAAAGCAAACTAAAGTGTCTTAGCTAACAGATTTTACTTTGTATTTGTGGCAAACTAAAAGGACATGTACAGGCAGTTATTCCAGCTCAGTTGATATACACAGTAAGTCACGCTATCTGATCCATGTATCTAAGCCCTAAAGCTTACATGATGTTAATTTCTGCCTTCATCCACGTCCCGTATCAAACCTCAAGGAATACTGGTGAGAGCAGGATTTGTTCAGGTGTCTTCAAAAATAAAGGGAAAAAGAGGAAGGAAATTATGTAGCTACAATAAATAAGTGTCAAAAATAAAGGGAAAAAGAGGAAGGAAATGATATAGCTACAATAAATAAGTGCGAACATAATTTCCTGAGCCTTTTCAGTTTATCTTAGCGTGAGAAATAATAACTGAGAAATAAGTATTTCAGGGGTACATTGTCAGAACTGAGATTTTGGACTGGTAGGTGGGAAAAGAAAGCCATTAACAAGCAGCAAGGTTTGTTCATTTTTTATTATTCATCAGTTTGAAGGCTGAACTCTGTGGCTTGTTGGGAAATGCATGGGGCTAAAATAATGAAAGCAGATTGATGCTCCACGGTAAGGAAGTTCAGTATCTGCTTCTTGCAAATGGAATTCTAACATTTCTTTTGATATTAGCAGTACTATCCTGAGAAGAATCTGTGGACTGCTGAGTTGTGAAATGCGCTGTTAGAATATGGGCAGGGTCACTCTCTTCCTACCAGCTGTGCCAATCCATTCCAGCCCAGCTGCACCTGCATTTTTAATTGGGTTTTTTTCTCATCCTTTACTAGCCATGGTAGTTTCTTATTTTGATTTATTCTACCTCATCTGTAAGGGAGTGGTTATAAAGAACAGGCAGTGTTCCAGCACAGAATCAACAAGTGTTTGTTTGAATTGTGCCCTTCAGCCTTTTTTGGCTAAGACTTGTTTCAGCCAGTGAAGATCCCTTTCATATTTCCTCACAATATATGGCTTGTGGGACCTCATGTGCTGTAGTGTGTTCCATGTGTCTCACAGGTTGAGAGATGCTACAGTTTATTTCAGAACAAATCATTAGTTGCTTAGGATGCATCTGCCTCTAACTTGTCATTTCTTTCATTCTGTTTTGCATTGCACTCTGTTAATATTACCAGTTTTCAGTAGCACCAATGGGGTGATAAAAGTATGGTGGTCTTTTATATGATCCTTTCTGCTCTCCCCTAGATCTTCGACCTTCTTAAAAAATGAGTTATGGAGTATAGTGTGAAAAATTAAATATATATATTATATGTAATATATAATGGAAAAGGAGAGACATTAGAAAATGAGGTCTGGTGAGGACTGGCGTGTTGTGATTAGGATAGAGTAGGATGATCCTGAACAGTGGTGTGGTGTGGAGTGGACTTGGTAATCTCTCAAGGTTATTTCTAGATTGATTTCCATTCACTCCTTGAATGCGTTCGTAATGTCTGATTTATTTGTTGTATGCATTGGCCACTCACTGCTGCTCACACTCTTTGAAACAGCATTCAAGACACATGGGGGTTACTGATGTTCCACTGAGTTAGAGATACCACAGGAAGAGTATCGCAATCACCTGAAGTATCCTAACGTCTTCCTAGCCGATTATAAAATTGAATTAATCACTTCTGTCTTTATGTCTTGCTTCTCAGCCCAATCTTGTCTTGGGCCATACTGAAATTTTAGTAATACAATTATGATCCTACGTAAGCAACATCTAATGATCATTTAATGCTTTCAGTGCACTGCTGTGACCATACACCCAGTTTTATGAGCATAGCTGGGATTTGAAAATGTGCCTTCAGAGCATGATGCTTAATTGCTTTCTCAAAAGGTTGCAAAATAATTTCCAGTCCCAGTCTTAGTGCCCTCACTGAGTGGGTCCCTCTGTCAAAACAGCATTCCCTTTTCTTTCTTTGACTAGATCCAAATGCATTTTTCCCCTTTTCTCTATCCACCGTCACCAGAGCATCATTTCAATCACTTCTCTTATTTACATTTTATACAGCATATTTCAGGATAGATAATTAAGTCCTTATCTATACAAACATTCACTTTTCAGTTGATTTTTAAGCAGTGCAAACCTTCTAGACACCTTTGATTTAAAGCATGTTTTACTCTAGCTGAAGCCAGCTGCTAATCAATGTAAGCTAAACCAAAATAAGCCCATCTAAAACTGAAATCATAATTTCTGTGCAGCATTCCACAGAGACTTATCTAAATGACTTCTAAATTAGTGTCTTAAATTATAACAGTGCAACTTTCATATATAGGTAAACTCTTAGAATCCAATATTTTCCTGAGCAAAAGGGATTTCCGTTGTGACTGCAAAAAAATCTCTGAAACTAGTCGGGGGGAGCATGGGGAGAGAATAATATGTTATACTGAGCCTTGTTCTTCAATTATATTATCTCCATCAGAGTATGAACAGATCTTCATATTAGATGATCATTTTACCAACACTCGCTTCTCACTAGGAGGATTCTCCATCATTGTATTCCAAAATCAAGCAGCATTCAGATTTGTCTGGGTGATATATTTTTGTCAGCATGACAAAGGTTCCCACAGTGTTTAATTACTCAGACTAGCCAGGGGAGAAGGAAAGAAATGAGCCGTGCTGAGTTTGCTGTGCCAGGCTCGCTCTCTGTTACATGAGAAGGCATCTTCTGAATGCGCGAAAGGAAGGCAGCACCCAAACTTCTGTCTTCTCTTTCCACTGGCTGTCCCTCTGCAGATTTCATGTTTGTTTTCCATTAATTGACTGTCTTTTGTCTCATGATCGTTTTGCAATTTGCTCATTTCCAGGGCAGCAGGTTCTTGGCTTGGTGGAGAACCAGAGTGATTGGTATTTGGGTAACCTTTGGAAGAATCATCGGCCCTGGCCCGCGCTTGGGAGGGGCTACAACACAGGTAGGCCCTGAGGGTTTTCTTTGAATTAACATTTCCATTAAGCATGCAATCAGTCTCCTGGTGTAGAGATATGAGACGTGGTAATTTGCACCTCCCTTTCCAACCTACTGCAAAATTTGTCATTTAAAGCAGTAAAAATGATGCAGTGTGATGCATTTTGGAGTTTCTGGTCTCATGGTACTCTGAGGATAATATGTTCTTTCTCTAAATGGTCTTAAGAGAGATTGTATGGCATCCCTTGGGAAAGGACAGAGCTTTTCAGCAGTCTGACACATCCTCAGCACATCTCCTACAAGATCTCTGTCCATGATGAAGCGTATGTAGGCAAGACACATCCTCAGCACATCTCCTACAAGATTTCTGTCCATGATGAAGCGTATGTAGGCCCAGCAAGAGGGAAAGAATAGGAATCAAGGGTCATTTTCTGTAAAGAGGTAAATGGTATCACAAAATGTCAGCCCAATAAAGATATAACTCCTGCAGGACAGCAACAGGGTCATAATTGTCCTAATAAAATGCAAACTACTGGCCATCAATTTCTGCTGCCGTGAGAAAGGAATAAAGGCACTAGATCAGAGAATTTATTAGGTTACAAGAGACAGGTCTTCCCACTGATTTGTGTTTGGTATGTGAGAAAACATACAGGTGCATAAAGAACACACATATACATCTAAATCACTTTGGTGCTAGGCTTTACATACTGATGCAGTGAGTTAGGTTCCCTCTCTATTTGTAATAAAAGGGCAGAACAGATGGTGAAGCCTCCATTTAGAAAAGATGAGTCCATTTAAATATCCCTGCACTATCAGGAAATTATTCACCATAATAGTGGATTTGCTTCGCAGAATATACTGGATTGAATTAAACAGACAACTAGAAAAAGGATTGCACAAGTTGTGGTTGGGTCATCTGTATTTCTATATTCCTTTGTATATTTGGGGGAATCATGCCAGGTTTTGTGAATTTGTATTTCAGCCTCTGCAAAGCATCTCTGTTCTGTGAAAATGTTCAAAAGAATAGCCTAACAGAACACAGATAGATACGGATACGAGATTTTGGCAAAAGAGGTTTGTTTCCAGGTTCTCCATTTGCCAGAGCAGAATTGCATATACAAAGGCTTGGGCTGCCCGCCCCTTCCCCCTACCCCCCCAAAAGCATGAGACAGAGCTAAGTTTCATGGATTTGTCCCGAAACCTGAAAACTAAACTTGTTGATGTCAGTTCTGTTCAGTGTTACACCACAAAGCAGTATCTTTTGTTCTACTGAGAGAAGACCACCTTTTATAGTTACTTTCTTTCTGCTGCATTTTTGCTTTTTCCTTTCTGCCATTTTAATGGTGGCAGAGAGAAATGTGTCACAACCATGTAACATTAGAATAACCCAGAAATGTATGGTTGGTAGTATCTAAAATGCAATTATGTAAATAAAAATGCTGTAAAGCTTTAATTTGTACTGTCTTAACTTGCTGTTCCAAATGTCTTATAGGGATGCCAAATGTCGGTATATCACAAAATTCTTACACTGAAAGCAAAAATTATTGAATGTCTGCAGTCCTTCACATAACATTGCTTGTGTTAATTCTTGGTGTGTGTTAATACATACCTACCAGGCCATGCATAATCCTGTCAATGATTTTAGTCTGCTCACAATTTCTTTCTTCAGATAACTCACCTGTAGCTATAAAAACTTTCTTTTTTTTGGAAAGAAGACCAGAAGGTAGATAATGAATGGAAGGTTGACAAGTGATCGTAAGAAGTAGAATGATGTTTTTTCAAGTACATGGAACAAGAGGTCACTGAGTTAAACAGTGCAACCTCTGAGAAGTAGCAAACGATGTTATTGACAGAATCAGCATCATTTACTATAATTTTCGTAATTGAATTCATTGTTTGCCATTGTAGCAGAGACTGGAGGTATAAATCTCTCAAGGAAGATGAACTAGCAAGTGAAACTGGAGCTTGTTTGATGTGTTCAGTAAATCAAAATAATTGACACTGAACACAACACTGTGGCCAAGGAGGATTCAGAAAACTAAAGGGGAGGGACAGGAAAGAGAAGCAATAACTCTAAGCAAAACACTCATGAAAGACAGTGGGCCAGGAAAGGGGAGACTCAAAAATTCAGGTGCTTAGAGTTGTACTTAGGAACAGTACAAAACCCTGAAACTTTAATGAGCTAAACAAAGCTGGATCAGGGGGAAGCTCTCAGACAGACTTTGCTCTTGCTCTTGGGAGAGTGTTTATTACAGTCCTAGGATACAATCCTAAGAAAAAAGATTTTCACGTGAGCCTCTTCAACCAGACCCAATCCTGGCAGATCTGATGCAGAATCACCCCTCAAAGTCAAAATTCTTCTGCTGCTTCCCCCCAATTTCTGAAGCAAATAATTTATCTTTTACTACTACCTTTCTATGTCTGAGCCACTCTGGACAACATATAGGTTGGGGGAGTCCCAGAAGGCAGATACATTAAAGCCAAAGGTGTGTTTGTTCCTTCTCCACTAGCTCTTTAAACTCAGTAAGCACGTGTGTTCTCCTATTCCTGTGTGTCCAGACCAAATGGTCTGGACACCTGACAGCCAATACAGGTTTTCAAGGAAAGAATTTATTTGGTTGTTTTTCATCCTTCTTACTCATTTGCACAGGCAGATAATCCAAGTCATACTTTAATCCATGATAATACAATCTTAGGAAAATCAGACCAAACTCAAAAGTCAGTTCAGTGACAATTTAATGGGTGTTTGAAATGTTCTTGGGTAGAACCATTCTTTATTTGAGGTAACATTCCCTTCCTCAAGCCATTTTAAACACAGTTCCCTCTGTACCACAAAGGTACCCAGGTTTTTTCTGTACCTCATTGGCCGAAACTCAGTAAACTGCTTAATCAAATACTTTTTTTATATATCGTCCACTCCATTTTGCTTGTCTACACTGAGATTAACTCTTACAGACTCCTCATACATTAGTTAAAGCAGACTTTTCTCTCTGTATAATCTATATCGTCTTTCACTGACTGAACTGTGCTTTCAAAAGTATTACCTGAGCCGCACTATGATTTTTCTCTTTACAGATGTTAAACTGACAGCTCCAGAATTGCACTGTATGGTTTGATGTTCATTTCTGGAGTAACAGTCATCTTAGTCCTCAGAAAAATATCTTGTCAAAGAAATTCTAACCAGAAAAGCTTTTAGTACTTTGTCTGCTTTATACTTTCCATCATGGTGGAAAACAGCTTTTAAAAGCAGTTTCTGGTGACTGTTACCATGATTTCAGGCCAATTCCTCAGCTAGTGTGAATCGGCTCTCTTCTCTGGCTTTCGTGCAGAGGGCCAACTTACATCAGCTGGGAATGGACTCCATGCCTTTCAACTGGAGCTTTAGGATGGATCTGTGCCTGTAATTTGGGTGTCAGGGGGGCATTTGTAAAAACTTTGGCCCAGGGGACTTCAGATTTCTAGGCTACAGAAGCCTGTCCTGAAGATTTGAGGCTCATCTGAAATACACTGCTCAGTGCAACTACTAGATACTGTAAGGAGGTGTCTCAACAGCTTGAGCTGAGGATTCATACTCCCACGCTGAGAGGTGGCACATTACCAGATTTGTGGATTGAGAACAGAAGGGAATGGCTAGCACCTAACGATTACCAGGCTACCCGTGCACTGTGCATTATTACTCCCATGTTTGTAATGACTGGAAGAATGCTAGAATGAATCTCTTTCCTTTATTGTTTCCCTGAAAAAAAGGATCCATGGAAAATGAATTGGAAGTGGGAAGCATATGTTATGTCATTTTTGTATAATATTTAACAATTGTGAATAATAAAGACAAGTGTAGGTCAGACTGTTTATATGAAATTAGACTGGATCACATCTTGTGCTTCTTCGTGATGATACTGTGCATCTTCAGTGCAGAAAGCAAATGACTAGTAAAGCAGTGCAAAATGAGGTGGTGGTGGTCACGGAACTGCCTGTGGTCCTGCTCCAGAAACACGATAACCGTTTTCATCTGAGATCCACGGGCTTCTGCTCACAACATTATGATAATGGATCTGATGTTAAGTGCTGAGCACTTTCAACTTAATCAGACATTTCTGGTTTTTATAAATCCTCACAATTAATGCTTTAAATAGTTATTGTTGCCTAATTCTGGATAGACCTGTTACCAAAACGCTTTCTTTTCCCCCTGGAAGAGTCAGAATTCCATGACAGCCATCTGAATATAGCACTAATTTACAAACTATATTCCATAGATTCTGACTAAAACTAGTGCTTTTCTCCATGGTGTAAAGAAAGGAGTATAGCGGTTGCTTGAGAGAGGAGATTTTTCCAAATTGTCTCAGTGAATGAAGAAGTCAGAAAACTCATGGTTTACAGAACCTTTAAATAGCCACCATCGAGGCCTGACTCAGTTTAGCCATGCCCTCTTTAAAAGCCATTGCAATATTTCTATCTCCCATTACAGAAAACATTGGCTACAGGAACTGGTATCATTAGGTTTGGTTCTAAGTACAAGAGTCTTTGCAAATAGCAGAAAAATACATTTTAATGATTAAAAAAAAAAAGAAAAAGTTAAGTCCAACACCAATGTCAAGGCAAAAAGTAGTACTTTCTTCACCTACTCAGACTCCCACTGTACCAGTTTTTTGGATTAGATTATTCCTTATTTAAGATACTGTGAGCTCATTCAGCAAATATTGTTATCAGTGCAAAGCATACTGATACACATACGCTTTATAACACACAAAGATGCATCTGAAGTACAGGTATCATGCACGTTGTACAGGTAGTAGTTTCGGAAGTGCCAACGCATTGTTGCTTTTAGGCTCAATAGGAAATGTCAGTCTGTTTGTGTCAGTGGTGGGAAGCTAAAATGATAATTCTGCTTTTGATGACCACATCTCTCTCTTTGTTGGCTATAATCTGTAGCTTGCACTTAAAAATAAGCTATCTTAAAGCTGACTACCCTCAAAGAATAGCTTCCTTTCCAGTCTTTCTCATGCAGTT